GGCCTTCTGGGCCCGACATACCCTCGCAATGCACCGCACTAGGCGAAAACGTGTCTGTCTTCCGATGAGAAGCTTTTCCATAGCCTTAACCTCCTTTGTCCAAACTGCCCTCGTGCCTGCTCCAATTGCCACCTCATCCCCCTCCATGCCCTCACATATTCTTCTTTCCTCTGGCGGGGGAGGCCGACTGGGTACGCCCTTCACCCTCTCCGTGGGGGCTGGCCGCTTCTTTCGGAACGGGAAGCGATTCGCCGTGTGGCGGTTAGTGGCAAACCGCGGCCCTGCCGAATCTACCCAATAGTAGTAGGGCGAAAGCCCGATGGCATTCCCTGATACCCTATGAGGGTGGGAAACTCCTTTGGCGCGGTGCGAGTGTGCATGTGTGTGCGTATGTGTGTGCGTGTATATCGGAATTGATGCCGGGCCGGAGGACGGCACGGCGCAACAGTCGGACGAACCAGACTGCCAATTCTGGTTTGCCTGCAGGCACACCGCGCGCAGAAATTCCCAATTCTTTCTTGATTGATCCGTCAGCCTTCACAGGCACGGCTTCTTTTATCCTGCAATCGAACCACGCCATGGCTGCAAATCTTAGTCAGTCAGTGAGCTTTTAATATTTTCTCTTAGCCCCGTCCTTACCAACCTTGCATGTCGGGTTGTATCTGGTAGATGGAAGTACTCGTCGATCCGACAAAGAGCAACCTTGGGCTGACCAACCTGGCCCACGGCTGACCAAAAGTCGCATTAGTGTCAGGTATCACTGGGATACTTGGAGCTCCTTTCGCCTGTCTGCTCGACCATCCATCCATCTAATCCCGAGAGATCTATCTTGAGGATCTATTCGACTCCCGTCAAGGGGTGGTGTGCTTTGGTTGGTTTAGCACGATGCGATACGACACCTCTCTAGTGGTAGGGTCGGATTCCAAGTCCAACACCACAGTTCTACTTCGTAGTGTACAGCTCGTCATCGTCAATGTCATGCACCTTGGGTGATCCATGATGCATCTGCACCTCGTGCTTGATCATACTTCTCACCCCATCATCGTTGCGTTCCTTTGTTTCTACTTTTCTTTTGCCTCATTTTTATGGCTGCTGCTGTCGTCGTTGGCATTGGCCATCCTCTAGGTTGGGCTTCCCCTTATTATTGGGTGCCGCTACTTTCGCTCGAGAGATCACGTCAAGCGCGAGTGGCTTTTCCTTTTGCCCGCGAAACGACCGAACCTATGAATTGGAATTGGAATACAAGGCAGCGCGAGCACGGGAAACCCTCGACTTCCTTCCTTGGGCAAACTGAAGAGGGGAAGTGGCGTTCCTTGGCGGGGAATGTGGAATAGAAGGTGCGACCTTTGCGTGAATCTCATTGATCAATCGATCCTTCCACTGCTTCCTTCACCCTTCCATGGGGTACAAGTCGAACAAAGTGAACCAAGACAGCCGTCGTGGTGGCCGGCCAAGGAAAGGAAGGCACGCTAATACATCCATTGATGGAGGTCCCAGGGAGATCCTCTCAAGGCTTACCCAAAACATCCTTAGTCTCCTGTTCTCATGCCTATTGTGAAAGAGAGCATAGCCGTGGTTACCCTCGGACATTACGGTGGAGCTTCACACTGTAACGGAACCCTGAATTCCATCTAATAACTACAAGTACATCAATCTAGTATTCTATTCTTCTCACCTGAGGGAGTTGGCCCCCTCACCATCAAAGCAAAGCAATTCCTTGGAGCCCGTCTTGCCTGTCAAGCACCAGTCACAAGAGGTTATCTCCGCCAACCCTGGATGTGGAGTGCTCCGCTTCGTCGTGCTCCCGCACTTCCAGTTTCTTCCGGCGCTCGAAGATGGGTATCCAGCAAGAGCCAAGAACGGGAAGTAAATGAGCTTATTCGCTTCGACTGGCGGAAACCGGCCGATTTCTCCCTAGGATAGGATATCTGCAAGACCAGAAAAGGCGAGGGGATGCAAGTGGTGATGGCCGGTTTGCCTTGCCTCGAGCACGAGCACCACAGACCAGCTTGATTCCCTTTTGGCTTCGGCCCTCGTTGGTCCGCGCGTCTTGAGACACTAGAATTCGTTGGGCTCAGGTCTCCCTTGGAACACACCACTGTTATCAGATGAGGAAAAACCAAACGGTGAAGTCAGGGCAGATCAGCGCCCCTCGAAATGATGTGCGTTGAAGAATTGACACTCGAGCTGTCTGCATCCCATGGCTGATATTCATTGCGTCTCACATCAATGATCGCCTGTGCGCTTCAAAACACACTACGGAGGCTCTTCACCCGTCTTGCCGGGTGCCCACTTTCTGCCATCTCGCTTTGCTTGGCACCGGCTACTCGCCCGATTAAGCCGTTCAATCTCGCTGGCAAGTAGCCCCTCCGCAACGAGTGCATACTAAAGGTACCTTTTGAGGTCTCTCAAACCAGCCTTGCCTCGCACAGGGTACTTGGCGTTCGCACTTGCTGTGGCTTCCGTTCTGGCACAACCGCTCACCCAGGCCCACATGCCCAGAATTAAATCTAGCCGAATGGAGCACATGGAGCCGTCGTGCAAGCATCCACCGTCTGCCAGTCGCCACCAAACTGACTATTTTCTCTTTCTTGTTCAACTCGTATATTCCTTCCCCCAAACCGTTGGGAAGGGGAGAGAAGGGGGAAAGGTACCTCTGTTGCTGATACTAAGAAAGAAAACAAAAACAGAGCAATTCAAGGATTGATGTGTGTGTCAGAGGGGAGATGCAGGCCGCCGCCCTCTCGGGACCCTCTCTATTTCGCAAGGATGTGACTCGAAGTGAGTTCGTGCAGAGTTCGTGGCGCTAGCACACTCTCATTGCTTTCCTGGGGGAAAGCTGGGGAAGAAAACGATCTGAGTGGTCAATCGCGACTGGGGATGTCCACGAGATATCGGAGTGGAGAATGGAATTGAGGAGCGACCGCCCGCCGCGCCGCCTCCCGGGAGGGATCTGTGGAGGATGCGAAATCTCGTGTAAGTGGGAACGCCCAGACAAGCATCAGACGTTGGTTCCCAGGAGGGAGTACAAACAACACAACCTGCGACGGCCAGAGAGCCTAGGCTACTTTCGATCGTAGGGGTCAGCTCCAACGGCGGTGGCCACGACCGGAGGACATTTCCTATAGGCTGAGAAACCTGCGACGGAGGGTGGTGGCATTGGAGCTCCGGGGGCGCCCACGAGAAAAGAAGAAGAAGGCCAGGCACGATTAATCGACCATTGCAGGACGGACAGGTGCAGTCCTCTCCCGTGCATCGTCTCCAGGGCACCGGATTGAGCCCATCCCCGCTTCCCCAACTAATACATCGTGCCCCTGAAAGCAAAGTTGGCAAGGTTCCACCGTCTTTGTCAGGACGAGACTACTCTTTTAGGGGCAAGGTGCCACGAAAAGCCTAGTCGACAATCGGCACTAGGTACGACATGTCCGTCCAGAAAAGCTCGACAAACATGGTGATTCCAGTCATTGACTGGTGGGGAATCAAAAACATGGGGCAGAGCATGTGCCGGTGAACGCACCTACCACGAGACTCCAAGAGAGCTCGACCTTGTCCCCCTGCAAAGATCGGCCCGTTGCAGTGAGGAGGGAGGGGGGAGAGAGCAAGACCTAGAACCTATCAGGCGGAGCGGAGGTCCCCTTCCAGACTTGCTGTGTCGGTGCAAGCGACCGCTGGGCCGGCGCTCTCATTTGAACGCCGAAGGGCACGGGGGTACCTTCGCCCATTTCCCCATTCTAGTCCTATTTCCTTCTAGCGGCCGACCCCAAACCGTAACCCTTTTCGGCCCAGTAAATTTCACCTCTCTCCACTGGGCCTCTCTTTTTCCTCTTTCTCGCCCCGCCTGGCGCCGTGGTCGCTTGTGGGTTGTCCATCCTTCCATTGGAATTTTCTTGGATTCGATCTCTCTCTCTCACACGCGCATCCCCATCAATCTTTGATGGGGCCGCCACCACCCCCTTCATCTGGGCCGCACTTGCACACCCCCTTCATGTCTTCCTCGTTTGTCCTGTCTGTCTTGTCCTCCTTCTTCCCTTGTACGATTGATTTGACACCGTTGTGCTTTCTCCTACCGTCGGTCTTCGGCCCTCGCTCGTCTTTTCCCTTCTCTCTTTTCTCCTCTCGCTTACACCCACACCCTACCCCGACCCTTGTCTTGTCCTCACCCCTCACCCCATTCCATCCACTCGAGTGTTACACCCCATGCATTGCAAGGGACTCGTCGGAATCACTCTGTTTCTTTCCTAACCTGTATGTCTTCTTGTCTGTAGGCAAAAAGGCTCGACCATGGGAAGCAAATGAAGTGAGCCAGTCCACGAGTTGATAAGATCGCGCTTCTCCCCGTGTTTTCCTGTCTCAGATTCATCTCCATCAAGCCTTTTCTTTCTTTCTCCCCCATCCCCTTCCCTTATACCCCTTTATTCCTATTACTTATAGGAAGTTGATACCCCGGGTTTAGATCATTGAAGACTCCAGTCAGTCTTCTCTCTTCTAGATCCGACAACCACCTCCCCTTCCCTCACGAAGCCGCTGGATATATAGCACAGCCGAGGAAGTCATAATGTCTGAGAAGTTTGAGAAGTCGGGCGATGTCGTCCATGCGGACGACATCAACCAGGTATGCCATTGTTTTTTTCTCCCTTGACCTCCTTCCCTGCGGCAACAAATACGCTTGCGAGAGGCTTGTCTCCTCCCTACCACCGCCATCTCCCGAGTGGCAGGTTACTCGTCCAAGCCAAGATTCTCGCTGGCCGCGCGAGCGCGCGCCTGCATGTCTTGGCGCAGCCTGTAACTACCCCAAGCCACTTGTGTGCGAGATGGCGGATCGGTCGAGGCAAGGCCGTGATTCGCAAGCAAGCCGCATCTCGGAGAGAAGAAAAAAGTTCTTTTGACTGACAGCGGGCTCGTCCCGGCGAACAGAAGAACGTCCAGGAGAAGATCATCACTGGTAACGAGGCCTTCAATGAGGCGATGCTCCAGGAGCCCCCTCGGGCTTCAGCACCAACATGCTCCTCATCTATGCCTTCTCCATCGTGGGCATGTTCTGCTCCACCATGAACGGTTACGACGGCTCCCTCATCAACAACCTTCTCCAGAACCCCGACTTCCGTGAGCGCTACCAGGTCGACAACGACGGTGTCCGCGCCGGTATCTTCGCCTCCATGTACCAGATTGGTGGTGTCGTCGCCCTTCCCTTCGTCGGTCCCGCCATTGACACCTGGGGTCGCCGTGTCGGTATGTTCATCGGTGCCTTGACCGTCATTATCGGTACCATTGTCCAGGGTGCTGCCCAGTACCCCAGCGCTTTCCTCGGTGGTCGTTTCCTCCTCGGTTTCGGTGTCTCCATCGCCGCCGCCGCCGGTCCCATGTACGTCATTGAGATCAACCACCCTGCCTTCCGTGGTGTCGTCGGTGCCTTCTACAACACCCTCTGGTTCTCCGGCGCCATCATCGCCTCCGGCGCGACCCGTGGCTCCCTCAATGTCAGCTACGGTTTCTCGTGGCGCATCATCACCTGGCTCCAGGCTCTCTTCTCCGGCATCATCGTCCTCCTCTCCCTCCTCCTCCCCGAGTCGCCCCGCTGGCTGTACGTCAACAACAAGCAGGACCAGGCTAGGGCCATGCTCACCAAGTACCACGGCAACGGCAACCCCGAGTCCGCCTGGGTCAAGCTCCAGATGCGCGAGTACGAGGAGTCCCTCGACCTCGATGGTTCCGACAAGCGCTGGTGGGATTACCGTGCGCTCTTCCGCACCCGTGCCGCCGTCTACCGTCTCATGTGCAACATCACCATCTCCATCTTCGGTCAGTGGGCTGGTAACGCTGTGCTCTCGTACTTCCTTTCTTCCGTGCTCGACACTGCCGGTTACACTGGCGTCATTGAGCAGGCCAACATCACCTTGATCAACTCTTGCCAGCAGTTCCTCTGCGCCATTGTCGGTGCCACCCTCGTCGACAAGGTCGGTCGTCGCCCTCTCCTCCTCTTCTCCTTCACCGGCTGCTGCGTCATCTGGCTCGGCATGACCATTGCCTCCGCCATGTGCGCCAAGTCCCAGGACGGCGTCGATGAGGACGGCAACCCCATCTTCACCAACAAGGCCGCTTCCCAGGCTGCCCTCGCCATGGTCTTCCTCTTCGGCTCCGTCTACTCCGTCGGTATCACTCCCCTCCAGGCTCTCTACCCCGTCGAGGTCCTCTCCTTCGAGATGCGCGCCAAGGGTATGGCCTTCTCCTCCCTCGCTGTCAACGCCGCCGGTCTCCTCAACCAGTTCGCCTGGCCCGTCTCCATGGCCAAGATTGACTGGAAGACCTACATCATCTTCACCATCTGGGATGCCGTCCAGGTCATCGTCGTCTACTTCTTCATCCCCGAGACCAAGGGCCGCACTGTAAGTTTTTCTTCCTCCTCCCTTTTTCTATTTCCTCCACACTTGGTGTTTGCAGGGTCGCTAACACATTTCTTCCCTCTATAGCTCGAACAACTCGACGAGATCTTCGAGGCCAAGAACCCCGTCAAGATGTCGACCCAGAAGAAGAAGGTCGCCGTCGACGACTCTGGTCACATTGTCGATGTCCGCGATGCTTAAGTCGCTTTGTCGACGCTTCGCGCGCCTTGCCCAATCTGGCGAGCACCAGATGCCTAGGCATGACAGAAAGCAGCATCCTTTTCCCGCCTTCTTTGGCTGTTCTCTCTTTCGAGTTCATGAGTAGATTGTGTGCTCGGGTGGAGGAGAGATGGAAGACGAGGAAAGGGCACCTCTTCTGTTTTCGATGCCTGGGAGGGTAGGCAAGACGATTGGGGAAGACGGGCAAGGAAAGAGCAAAGATGACACACACAAGTTTTTGACAATGCCTCGTGTATAGAAAACCGCTGTTGTTTCCGCTTCAGCTTCTCTTCCTTGCTAGTCACCCATGAAAAAGTGCAACCACCCCTTTTTTATTAATACTTCTTTTGATTATATTTCGAACCTTGAATATCTTTGTATTTGTGTGGAAGTGAGGGGTTTTTATTTTCTTTTGTTATATAATCTATACTTTACTATACCAATTTCAAAATACCACTGCGCGTTTGAAGCTGAGAAGCCTTTCGGGATCCTTTCCTCACCATGCCTTGAATTGCCGTATTGTTCGTTCCGCGTGCTCTTGTGGTCTCTATGTGAGCTACCAGTCAGCCAGCTATCGGCGCACTTGTGTAAAGTTGTCAAGCCTTCCTTTCTATTACTATTGCCTGTCTGACATGCAGGACTCTGGGTGGGGGTTGATGGCTAGATGGATGGATGCGAATGCTCTTGGCCCATCTCTTAACGCCATCTGTATGTACCTCGGTAGTCCAACGAACTTGGCATGGCTCACAAGCCGTCGAGCTAACGACACGCCACGCGTCTCCCAACTGGCCTTTCGCCAGTCTCCTCGCCGTTCCTCTTTCTCTAGCCCAGGCACAACCCTATCGTAACAGGGCGATTCAGAGCCTCCCTACCTTTCCTTTTTCGACTTGACAGCCTCACTTTGCTTCTTTTGCACACCACCCCCTTTTCCTCACCCACATCGACGTCTCTCCCGTCTCATTCCTCTCCTACGTTCTCTCTGTCTTTTTTTCTCTTCTTACGTGCATGTACTAGGACCCCTTTCCAAGAATTAGGCGCAGCCACCAAAAACCCAGCGCGCTCGGCGGAAACGGGGGCGGGCAATCGGACCGGAGACGGCATCTTGAGGAGAGGGGTAGATTAGGAGAAGAAGGGTAGAAAAGGGGGCGGGGAGCGGGCCAGCCAGAAGACCCTGATGTGGAGGATTTCGCTGCCGGTGTGGCGCCCGGGGGGCGGGGAAGGAGAATAGGGCTTCTGTCGAGCGGAAAGAGCACCAGGGGGTAGAGGAAGGGAGGAGAACGCGGAAAGAGAGCTGAGGGGTTTACTTGCTGATTTCATTGGCGTTTCGAGGATTAGGGAGATCTTGCACCAGAGCAGGAAGAAGGCAGAGCTGGAAGGAAGCCGTACGTAGATGATGGCATGCGATAGGAAGAGCGTGTGACGTTCTGGGGGAAGCAATAATAGCCCGAGTTGTCCTCGGCCTCTTTCCTCTATACCCTGGTATAAGTGTCCCTTTCCTTAAGGGCTTGCTGCCTCTCCAGTCCCTTAAACGACTAAAATCATTAAATCAGACCTAAGCCTTCATCATCTACTCTTTCAGCTCCCAACACTCTCATGTTATCCCCCTTGGCGGGAGATTTCCGCGCCCATTTTCTTTTCTTTTTATTTAACCTGCTTCCTTCCCTTTAACCATTCGGTATCGGAAATGGTATCTTGTTCGGGGCGCTTTCCGGGCACCTCGGCTCCACTCGGCCGCGCCCCCGCTCCAGTGCGTCTCCGGACTAACACGCAGACTACCGGCGGGCGGGAGTAAAGAGACGCAAAGTAAAACCCGTGGCGTGAATGGGCTTATTCCACGATTTCTATGGTTATTTCCCCTTCTTCTTCATGTCCTGCACAAACGAAACGTTGCTATTCGATGCATCGTATCTCTCCTAGAAATTGAGGGGTGCCAAGAATACATAGATGGAATCTAGTTTAAAATCAAGAAAGGAAGAAAAAAGGAACAAGAACGAAACTCGATGAAAAATAAGCGAGGCTAGGCACAAATAGTTGTTGCGTTGGCTACTGTGGTTGAATCATGGAAGCGAGACACCATCAACACTGGTGTGTCGTTGGAGGAGAGAAGAGGTGTGAGGACTGGAGAACCAATGTAGGTGAGGGAACGAGAGATGCACCGGTGACATACTCGTAGCCTCGGCCTCGCCGTACTGTCTTTGTGCACATGTGTGCACACAACATACCTCAACCCACTTCCATGTTTCTTCTGCTTCTAGTAATACAGTAATATGGTTCCTGGAAAGTCTGACAGCATCTGCCGTAGGTATGATATCTCGATATAACCCATGGTAGGCCGTCTCGAATGTCACCTCAGGGTTTCTTGCAGCCCTTGCTCTAACCCTTGACGTGGTGCGAATGGAAGCTCACTTGATTCATTCACAATGAAACTGGATGAATTGTGACTTCATAGAGGGTCTCGGTGGGGGAGGGGGCGGGGTTCACACGTCTCGGGAGAACCATCAATTCTTCTGTTCCCAATCTCGATGCCGAGCTCGCGAGCATGTCCCACTCCACAACATGGGCATTTTTTCGAATTCCCCATATCCACGCACGGACGCGAAGAGGTCTCGTCCAGACCCCCAGAGTTCTTTGTCTTACCTCATTTCCCACTTTCCCCAGGTGAGTGCTCAGAGCCAGAAAAAGAAAGAAAGGAAGAGAGACCACCAAGCGCTTCAATGTCTCGGGAATTCGCGTCAATCAGACAAGAGAAAGCGCGAGGAAGACAAAATTTATTACTAGGTCCTAGCGAGTAGGCCAAGAGAACCCAGTTAGGTTGACCGGCGGCTGTTCCTTCTTCTTTCCTCTTTGCCAAATTTCCTTTATTTCTCACAAGGGTTTTTGGCTCAATGACTCCTTGATTTTTGAAGAGCAGGTGCGAGGTCGCCCAACGTGCATCACCTGAGGCAAAGAGCTCGACTCCACTCCAAGAGCTCCTTCTTATTCGAGAAATCCAAAGCTGCAGTCGCAGGGCAACGGAATATGAGAGGTTCATCAGGTCGAGAATCCGTGCCGTGTCCGGATCCTGTCCGCTCTCGATAATCATATGCAGAGCGCGGGTTGAGTTGAGGTTGGCCGGAAAGCACAGCTCAATCAGCTCATTCGCTGGGAGGTGGGGAATGACGGAAGAAGTGCCCCACCGTCATGACTGACCATGGGCCCCGCCCCACCAAGAGCCCTTCTTGCTCTCTGCCGTGCTTCGTTGCTTGTCCTGTCCTGTCCCTCGTGGTTTCCCGCGAATTGGGACCCACAGGTGACCTCTTTCCTCCAGTCTCCGTAATATGGGATGGATCTCGACCCAGGACTTGCAGCCTTTTTCCTGCTATCTTCCCATATGCACCTTTTCTTGCTTCTTTGATGTTAATGGCTCGAGGATGGTACGGTCTACAGAATAACCTTTTCCATCTCCTCATCTCCCTTCTCCCTTTCCTTTTTCTCATCTATTTTTTTTTGTTGGCCTCTTGTGGACGGAGGAGCAATTCCGAGCAAACACATCATTGGGTGATGCAATGGGCACTAAACCCAAAAAGAAGCAGAAAAAGCTGCTCGAGAGAGGAGTCTGAATAGCTCCTCGCAGGCAGCCCCACCACTCAGCTCTCATCTCTCGCTTCCATGCACGACCTTAATATTCCTTTTTCAGACACGGGAAGCGCAGAGGGATATGGGAAGCTATGACAGGAGAAGTGGGGCGTGAGACGTCAAAACGTGCTATCGGATCTTAACACTGGACAGAAAGCAAAGAACCCAACCCCAGAGTCACGACTGGGACGCAAAGGGGTAAAATATGATAATACTCGGACAGCGGTATGGAGAGCGAGCAACATGGGAAGCCCTTGCCCAAAAAGCTTCCAAGAGAAATGTTTTTCTCTGTCTCTCTTTCTTTCCCCGGCTGTCTCGAAATTGCATGTCTCGTCTGATTCCGTTCACTGTCCAGGGATGGCCCAGACCAGCTGGGGGTGTCATGGCGACAAGGCCTTCCACACGGATCTCGCAGCCCCTCATGAGTAGCACCGAACGTGGCTGCTTGTCAAGAAGAGAAGAATGGAAAAAAGGAAGGAAATCCTGGGAAATGGTGGAGATGATGGAGAAAGGCGAACGACAAGCTGGGCGAGCCTGGCCCTGGTCACTCCCTCAGCCCCTGTCCTAGGAGGGTTGCCTAGTCCGTGCACTCGCCAAGTTGACAACCGACTGGGAGAGCGTCACCATCGTCGGATTTCCTTTCGTTGCTTCGCTTCTCCGCCCCTGGTCGAGCCTCGTGTGGGTAACTCTTGTCCGCTAGCGCGGAAGCCCCCTTGTCAGCATACAAGTTCACCCCTCCAGAGCATGACCCTTTCCCCCAAGCTCCGCCGCCGCGTCGTGCTCTGATGCGAAATGGGTGTCGTGTTTCTGTTTTGGCTCATGTCCCACACCCAATGGATGTCTTTCCGTCATGGAGAAGTGGTGTTGGTCAGATCAGAAAGAAGAGTCGTGCGGAGGGTGATGGGAGCCGTGTGAACCCAATATTACGGTCCATGGCATCCATGGTTGGATCTCACGCGGAAGATGAGCTGACCGACGATGGAATCTTCTTATCCCCTTTTGTCACGCAAAGAAGAATTCCTGAAAAGCCCTTCGATCCTTGTTTGGATGAAAAAGGGGAAGAAAAACGACAGAAAAAAGAGGAGGACGAATGAGAAAATGGCAACGAGCCTGAATCTGAGTCTGTTCCTGCGTTGGGATGATGTCTCAATCTCCTCCGCATTACACCGCTAGAAATCATGGGCATCACCGCCGCCACGGATGACTCTTTTTTTTTTTTTTTTTTTCACATTGTTTCGCCCTCTCTGATCCCCCTTGCTCTTCCATTTCTCCATCGTGGGGCTCTTTTTCCCTCTTTGCTCCCTTTCTCCACGGGAAGGTAATCAAAGAGCTTACACCGCCGTCCCCAAGGATCACTTCAGTCGCAAGCATCAAGATCATAATAATAGATCCATTGCGCCTTTGGATGGCGCTTGTTCCCACCCCGGCCTCTCTAAGACCCCCTAGTCTGGTCCGCTCGCGCCGCCCAGGATCAAAAGAAGAAAACCACACACCCAATTTCCTTTTTTCCCTTTGCTCCCTGCTCGCGCGCCCCTTTTAAATTATCGTGAGATTCAAGAACCCGGAAAAGGCAACACAAGAGCATCTCGTGCTTCTCGAGGATTGTAAAAGAAAGAATGGGTTCGAGTAGAAAGGAAATGTTTAGATTATTCTCTGATTATTCTGATTATTATGGGATTTCCCCTGTAATACCGTCTCCATGCAACCTCAGACCCTGATGCAAAAATGTATCCATTACAATACACGCCCTGTGTGCCCCTTTCCGTTCCGGCCGGTGTAAAGTAAACGCCCCCTTATTCCCATCACAAAAGAAAAAAAAAAGAAACCCCACACACCCCTTGTTTCCTGGTTGGTTGTTTCTCATTTGTTTTTTTCTTTCTTCTTCTTCTGTTCTTTCCTTGTGGTATGGGGCCTTTTCATTGTTTCCCCCTACGCGGTGGGGTGGTGGGAGCTTTTACACGAGATGCTTGTCGGCACCGTTGTGGTGCCCGTTGTCAGCAGCCATGCGGTAGGCACCGAGACCATCCTCGTCCTGACCAGCGTTGGCGGTGCTGTAGTTGAGGACCTGGAGGAGCTTGTAGACGGCAAAGGCCAAGAGCGAGCCCAAGAGGGGACCGAGCCAGTAGATCCAGTGGTAGCCGTGGAAGCCGGCAATCACAGCAGGACCAAAGGAGCGGGCGGGGTTGACAGAGGTGCCGGTGTAGGCGACGCCCACCATGTGGCACATGAAGACGGCGATGCCGATACCGAGGGGCGCAATGTACGTCGCCCTGTGCTTCTCCACGGCCAACATGTACACGACGAACACCAAGTTGGCCGTGAGGAACATCTCGAGGAAGAGACCCTGCACGATCCGGACGTTGGGCGCGAGAGTGTTGCGCACGAGGAGGGTCCGGGGTGAGGCCGTCGATCACGGCGGCGGCGGCGATGCCGGCCACGATCTGGGCGACGAAGACGATGACTCCGCGGATGGGCTTGACGGCTCCGACGAGGACTAGACCCAGAGTGACCTGCAAGAGGGGATATCGGGTGTCAGTTGGTGCTTACAAGGATATATATATATACCCCGCGCTGTTGAGGGGGCAGAGGATAGAGAAGCAGACTGAAGAGATGAGCAAGACTTACAGCGGGGTTGAACATGCCACCAGAGACACGGTAGAAAGCCCACACGTTGGCAGCGATAGCACCACCGAAAGCCGCCGAGATGAAGAGGAGGGTAGCCGGGCCGGGCGACTCGCCCTCAGCCAGCGTGAGAAGCGCGCCCTGCGTAGCGCCGAACGCGAGGAAGAGGAACATAAAGGTACCGCAGAACTCGGCCAGGGCGGCGACGATCTCGTTTCGCACAGGATGCTTCATGCCAAAGGCGGCGCGGCGCTCGACCGGGTCAGGGACGGTGGGCCGCGATTGCTCAATGCCAAAACCGCCGTTGTTGGCGCCAATGTTGCCGCCGCGGGCGTTGCCAATGGGGCCCTCTCCATCAGGGTTGGCGGGGAACGTAGAGTTGTTCACCGCGGACATGTTTGCGAAGCGGAAGGGCTTTCTGGATGAAGTGCTGTCGGTACAACGGTATTCGGCAGTGGGTGTTGTAGTGTGTCCGTAAAAGGGGCCTGAACCAGGTACTCGTGAGAGCTGTAGGCTGCACGAGAGAGGTAGGGAGATAGAGAGACTGGGAGACTGGTGTGCGGAGAGAGAGACACAAGGAGACCGGGGCGAAGACGGGTATATATAATATCACATCACCCAAGTTGTGTCCGACAGGCTTGATCTTACAGGGCCGGTCCCTTCGTACCTGACCCTCGAGGGCGAGTCACGCATTTTCTTCTTTACTGATCAGTTGTCGGAGGGCGTGGGAGACGGGAAATCCAGCAAGGATGGTGAGGGAGGTGTGGAAAAGCATCCCTCCCCGGGGGTGTGGTTGTGTGGGTGCAAGGTGGAGCAGATGCGTGCGTAGCTGCGTGGGTGGGCAAGAATAGAGCACACACCTCCCGCCTCCCGACTGATTCGACACCCTGTTCCATGGTATGGTCCCCTTTCTCAGCCTAGCTTCCCGCTCCCACCCAGACACAAAATGTACACACCACGTTATTATTTTCTGTGTTGCGTCAAACTCTGCGTCGGGTCTGCATGGGAGCTAAGTCAAATCGAAGAGTGCGCCGTCGTATCCCGTCTTGCCTTCAATAAATCCATGGCCGATTTTTTTAGTCGGCGGGGGCCCCCTCTTGGCTTGAACTTAACTTGATGGGAGCCACAGCTTCTTGCTAAGCTGAGCTACATCAATTTGGAGCTGGGCAAGCTACAGCTCTTCTCAAAGCTTCCCCAAACCAGAACTCCCAAGTCTCCGGGTAGGCTTGGGAAATAGAAAAAATCCCGCCACTCTGGCTTCCTCTTTTGCGTTGCAAATAAGATTGTTTGACATGACAGCAGAACGGTGTAAGAGGCTCAAAACAGAAAAGTCAACCCCGCCCTCTTACACGCAGATGAAGAAAGGAGGAGTGAACAACCAAGAACAAAGATCAAGAAGCCAAGGCCGCCCTGACTGTCATCAGAGCTACCGAGCTGATCCTTCGCTGGCGTCATACTTGGTGAGAGACCATGGACAGAAAAAGAGGATCAAGTGGTACTAATCTGTAGATCCCACCTGCGAGACTAAGAAAGCTTGAGTTCAAGCCAAGGCTGGGCAACATCATGAACAAAAATGGCAGTATGAAGGAAAGAGCGAATAAGAGGGAGACCAGGCTAAACAGAGCCCCCAAACAGAGGGTCAAGACGAGGAATGGGCTCGATAGGGGCGTGACGTCCATCGAGGGGGATAGTATAGTGTAGATCTTGTCTGCGCACCACTGCAGGAGTGGCGTAGGAAGAAAGTGAAGGAGGGCGTCTCGGAAGGCGTTGTGTCCCTCTCCCCTTGGCGCAACATCGCTTTGAGCTTCAGGCCTAAAAGATGGTGCGAAAAGGAGGGGCTTCTCCATCGTACGCTAGTTGGACTGTTGACGAGGGTACGGTGCTGGCTGGCTCCTCCATTCTGCCCTCCTCTCACTTATATCTAGCAGGATCCTTGAAGTAGGTAGGATTGGTAGGACCCTCGAAAAGAAAATGAATGCGCCTGAAAGTATCCTCATCTCCCTGTAACCCTTATTTCCCTTCAAGACCATGTTAGGGCGGGATAAGAGAGATCTCGATGGTGCAGCATAGAGTGTCCAAAGACCTTGGGGTCTTGGATTACTGCTTCTCTGTCATGGTAGCCTGGGAACCTTCGCCATGCCGCCCCGTTTTCTACGCCACCGTCGGCTGGCATTGGCCGCGAGGGTCCTATGCCAAGGGCGGAGAAAAGGTCTAACTACGATATCCCTTCAGACGATGCAAGATTTCCACATGTACCTCCTGGGCCTCAGTCGGTATGAGAGCGCCCGAGCTAGGAAACGGTAGGCAGAGGGGGTGGGGGTGAGCAGTAGGGGCGCTTGCCTGGTGCTAAGCCATCTTTTGGCGCCGATTCACAAACAAAATAGATGGAGGCTGGAAGCTTGCCCACCGACTCCGATAGCTATCGCGTTTCCCAGCGGCAAGTTGGTGGAGCCTAATAAAAGTTGAGATATTGTGCGGGAGTTGCTTCGCATCCGTACCGTATGCTGCAACTAAGATTGGCCCAACTAGTCCTAGTATCGCCCTCTTAAGCTGAAACCCTTTGAGCGTGGTTCGCCAGAATGTGCGCCGCTAAAGCGAGGCCCCACGGAGTCCTCTTCTTGTCCTCTCCTCTCTTTTGGGGATAGCATAACTCGGAAGGTCAAGAGAACCGCCCTATTGTCGTTGGGAGAGATTTGGGAAAGACGAGAACGTGGCCTGAAGGTGGTTTCATCACGATGATGCATATGCCAGTCGACACGAGGCCGGCGGCGAGCTGATGCGGGAAGGGTGTTGGTAGACATGACATGTCATTCGAAAACTTGCAGAGTCGGGATCATCCCCTTGTCGATGGAAACAAGAGAGAAAAACTTGTGCGTCTGGGGCGGCTTGGATAAGTGAGACAACCGACGCTGGCGAGTGGGAACCTTGTTTAATGGGCGGGTCTTGCGACAGAGGCTAGAAGGCAGCAGCTTCGCCCACAGCTCGGCGGCCAAGTCCAAGAGTTAGCAAATCATGAGACATGCATTGAAAATTGCGTAGAGGTTCGAGCATGCTGTGTCCATCATGAGCAACATGAACAATATGTGGGTGGGCGGACAAACGTGAAGGCAGAGACGAGTGCAGCGGAAGCGTTCATGAGTAAGAGGCCTTGCCCCTTCTCTAGCCAAGCTTTACTACCATGATCCTCCGATACTAGTATAGCATAGCTTCATTGTCTGCTCGAAGGGCCTAACACAAACACAGACGCCGCCACAATCCTAGTCACGCTCTAAAGACTGGCCTTGCTGCCAAGAAGCCTTGATTAGGCTGGCTAGCCTTGGGATAACTAGCCTCGTGATCGGATGCCGATTCTATATCAATGTGATATGTTCATGCCCGGGCTAATCCATCAGTGGCCTCGGGCTCTGTACAAGACCGTACTCAAGAGAGGGATCTTGACTCGAACGGAGATCTAAACATGGGCAAGGCAACGTGTTCCGTCCTTGTAGTGTTGCCGACAAATTCGCGGTTCTAAAATCTCGTGACACTAGCAATTGGCCTGGGAGGATGCTGGCGCGCATCTCTGGAGGAGAGAGAAACATCAAATCCATCTCCGCTTTGGGTGTATTCTGCGATGGTGCGCGATGGTGCACGCGCTGATTGCTTGAAATCAAAGTTTGGAGCACGTTGTTTCTCTTCATGTACACGGTGTAGCCACGCACCATGAGACGGCAGCGAAGAGTAGCCTCTTCCGGCGCAACTCATCGCAGGAATCAAGCTCATTAAATTGCCTGCTTTATCCTCGCCCACTCCGCCCCGTTGAGGTTGGAGCGATGGTTGATGAAAATCCAGCCTCGGTGAATGATGGAGGCACGTTGACAAATTGTTGCGAGGCCCATTCCTTCCAGTAAGAATTAATTCTTTTCTTTCTTTCTTCTCTATTATCCTCTCCACCTCTCCACCTCTCCACTTGGGAAGGAGAGAAGACGTGATGAATCATCAGGAATGATAGACATCATTGACGTTCGCTCTCGGTCCCGGGTACCGACAGGTACAAGGAACCTGGGAGCGCTAGCCTCAGCTAGACCATCCCACCAAGATTGAGTGAGTGTCCCGGCGCTGACGACTGTTGACCCCGGCTGGAAGCGGGCCGACTCGGGTATCGGTACACTACAATCCCCAACGTTGGCAGGAAAATCCTGCAGAAGAACCAGTGAACAGGGGATATTTGGAGAAGGGGAGAGCCTAAACTTAAACTAGAGAAAATAAGGGAAGGAAGGAAGCAAGGAAAAAAAAACCGATTAAGCCGGGAAGGTGAGAAGGAGAGAGAATCCGACCGTGGCAGTGCGACTTCGGTGGCTCACATCCCAACTTCCGTTATCTGAATCATTCACTTCACGGCCGGACACGAAGCCACAACAAAAACCCTTTCCTTGCAAAGAAGGGCACCGGGCACGAACTTCGACAACTGACCAACCAATCCGTCGTAAGGGCACACACTAAGGAGATTACTTCCCCGGCTTTTTCACCTACGCCTCTAAACCACCACGCCCTTTCATTACATTTCCCCCTAAAGTCCGTCTTTTGTCCGCCCCCACCCCCCTTTTGACCACCCCGCCAAACTGTCTCTCAATGCATCCGCGTTGAGAGCGCGTAGAGAAACGCCCGAAAAAAAGGAAAAGCTACCACCACTACCACCGCCCCTCTCTGGCTTGCCACCACCAGAGCCGAGCAAGTCAAGTGCCAATGGACCCCGATTTCGAGACCGATTCGCCCTCCGCGCCTTCGGAGGTCGGCGCCTCTATCCCCGCGTACACCGTCTTGCAGCCCGGCCTTGCCGCCCCGCCCACATACCCTCGACTGCCCCATCGCCCCGGCGGGTTCCAATGCCCCGGGAGCGCCGGCCCTGAATCCCCGCAGCTGTGTAACGTGTCGCCGCCGCAAAGTCCGCTGTGACAAGCGGATGCCCTGCTCCAACTGTCGGCGAAACCAGATTCAATGCATCTTCCCGGCCCCCGGGCGTGCCCCCGACGGCCCCGGCCTCGCGATCCCGACGCCCCTTTACCCAACTCCAAGAAGCGTGAGCTTGAGTTGTTGGACAGGTTGAGGAAGCTGGAAGGCATTGTGGAGGAGTTGAGCAGCCAGGTGGAAACCGATCACACACGCCACGCCTCGACATCCACGGCTTCTCCGGAACCCTCTGCTGAGGCATCTGATAGCCACGGGAGTGCCAGCGGCGCGACGCCTGGAAGCAAGGAGGAAGAGTCGCCGCCCGTCTTGGGCCCTATCGCGAGCATCGTGACTTCTACCAAGCCGACATACGCGCCGAATTACGAAGTGAATGCCAATCTCTACAAGAAGTTCGGTAGGCTCGTCATCAACAAGGGCAAGGGCCGATATATCAGCAGTGCTTTCTGGTCGAGCGTCAAGGATGAGGTAAGTTTTTGGCTAGTCTCCTCTTACTAGTTCAGCCCTTTCATACCCTTTTCTTTCTCCCCCTCTCTTTTGGTTCCTCCTTTGCCTATGCTCACCTATTCTCGTCGTTTTGCCAGTTTGACCAAATCCGAAGCGGTGTGAACACCTTGTCCGACGAGACCGACTACACATCCGAAGAGGAAAATCCCGAACCGATCGAAACCTCCGGCCCGCAAAGTCATGACTCGTTTTTGTTTGGCTATCGCGCTTGCGACATTGACCTATCTACCTACCATCCTCCCGCACACTTGATACCCTTCCTTTGGAAGGTCTACCAAGTCAACGTGGAGCCCGCCATCAAGCTCATCCACACACCCACCGTGGACAAGATCTTCCAGGGAATAATTAACGGCAATCGGGAACTAAGCCCTCCCAACGAAGCTCTTGTGTTTGCCATCTATTTTGCCTCTTTGGTGGCACTAGAGGAGGATGAGGTAAGGGATTCTTGATGTGTGGATTAATGTGGTCTTTTTCGAGTCGGTCTTGATGCTAACGTACGTGTAATCTTAGGTGCAAGAGAAGTTTGGCTCGCCCACAGCACCCCTCTTAACTCGCTATAGATTTACTCTCGAGCAGGCGCTGTCCAAGACGAATCTGATGAAGAGCCTTGACTTGACCTCTCTTACCGCGCTTACCCTCTTTCTTGCAGTTGTGAGACGGCATGATGATACGCGGTTCTGCTGGACAGCGACCGGCCTACTCATAAGAATCGCCCATGGCCTGGGACTTCACCGTGACGGCACGCAGTTCAACCTGCCGCCGTTTGAAACGGAGATGAGGCGGCGAGTGTGGTGGGTGATATGTGGTATCGATATGCGTTCGGCCGAGGAGATGGGGACGGATCTCATTATCGTCAGCCGCACTTTTGATACCGAGTTTCCCACCAACATTAATGACGAAGATATCAGCCCTAGCTCGACCAAAATGCCGCCCGCTCGCGAAGGTCTTACGGACGCCTCGACGGCCATTGTTCGCCATGAAGCCATTGCGTTGAGCCGCCGACTTTTCGCTCTTGCCACTGCGGCGGGCGGCGTATGCCCCAAGGATAGCTCCTCGAGCATGGCGGAGCGTGAGCGTATGCTTGTCGAGACGTATGCCCGACTCGAGGCCAACTTCCTCAAGTATGTGGACGGTGCCACGGGTCCTCAGGTTATCATGGCGACGCTAGTTGCCCGTATCCTCATGGCCAAGAGCTCGCTCATCATCTACCAGCCCGCTCTGTTCCCCGGCAAGGGCGCTGGTCTCTCGGACCAGATCAAAGAACGGCTCTTCGTGTCGGCCGTGGAGATTATTGAGTACACGTATAAACTCAACACCGAGCTTCAGTTCAAGCCATGGCGATGGCTATTCCAAACCTACACGCAGTGGCACGCCATCGCGTACATCCTTCTCGAGATGTGCCGACGACCATGGACCGCGACCCTGGAGCGGGCGTGGCACGACCTCAACCGAACATTGAACAGCCGTCAGAATTTCGACCTGACCAAGACGGCGGACCATCTCGCAGTGTGGATGCCGCTGCGGAAGCTACTTCTCAAGGCGCGCCGGCACCGCGAGGCCGAGATTGATAGACTGCGGGCAAATCCTGAAGAAGTACTAAGGCTAGATAAGGAAGACAGCGCAAACAAGCACCGACAGCGATTCGGACGCGTGGCGCCAGAAGTCGACTTGGACGACGTGCGGTATCGATGGCTGGCGCTCGTAGGACCGCAGTTCTCCGTGAACGAGGGGAAATGACCCCTGGTCCCGGACGGATGCCATTCCCACCGGCCGATGCGGAGATGGGCGGCGCAGCAGCGGCGGATTATCTACCCCAGACTACCGGTGGCCAACAAGCCCCGTTGACGAGAAACGTCGGGCCCGAGGTGGTTTTGGACGGCATGCGGGAGGCCCTCATTGAGGAAATGATGGATGGACCGTTTGACCCCATTGCGTGGTGGAAAGTCATGTCTCCCGTGACGAGCGATTCGTCTCCCGTGTCGCAACATGCACCGCAACAACTCCAACAATTGCAACCACAGCAACAACAGCCGCAACCCCAACAGCAGCCCCTCATCTCACCCCCAGTGGCCCGCGGGCGCAGGCGCTCGGTATTCACGGGAGCCAGGTATTGATCCCTTCTCCGCAGACCTCGGGTACGCAGGTCCCCTTGGCAGACCAGTCCGGCATGTCTATGCTACAGACGGTGCACGAGCAGGCGGTGACTAACCTCCCGCCCTGGCTATGGTCCGGCCCGTTTGATGACGTCGTTTCGGCGGGTCAAGGACCAACGCGGGGAGCCCATGAACAGGGACAGGGGCAAGGGCAAGGGCAAGGGCAGGGGCAGAGCGGAGGGTTAGGGCAGGGAACCCCACTCGGCGTGGGGACTGCCGAAGGACTGATAGAAGGACTTGATGATGGGGGCATGAACCTCGACGAGTTCAACTGGCAATCATGGGGCGACACGGCACGGGGACTACGGATGTAGGGGTTGGCGGCTGGAAACTTCTTTTGGGAAGGCGGGGGACTGGAGTGAGCGGAGAGGGCCAAGGTGCCTAGGGAGAGGAAGGAAGTGAGATGTGGGATATTCGCCACAACTTTGGGACTATTGGGATTCGGCTGGTTGACTTTTTCTGTTGGACGGAAGGAAAAGGGGAAGCTGGCTGAGGGCACGGATTTTGTTGTTTGATGTCGACGTTTTGTTTTTTTGTGATACCTATTTCCTTGGTTCTCTACTGCGAAAAGACATGCTAAATTAATTCTTCCTCTACACGTGCTGGCGGTCAGGGAAGGTGGGAAATGGGCGACGGTGGAGCTAATAGGTATATATACTCTCTCGACTCCTTGGAATAGAATATTGAACGCGTTCACCTTCGGCCCAAAAGTGACGATACAAACCAACTGGATTAGGATACCGAGATTCTTATATATCAGCCCCCGTTCCCTCTAACAAACATGATCAAGGATACCAACTTCACGTCTTCACAAGAGAGAAAAACTAGTATGTATATCTATGTACAGCTGACTGATCTTTTTCATTTAGACATATAACGTGATAGATACATATGAATAGGTTGACATGTATTCCTCTATTCGTTTCCTTCAAAGCTTCCCACCCTTGGCAGAGGCACCTGCAACGCCAAGATCATCGGAGCGCAGGGCATCTTGGCGGGAAAAGACGCCAAGGTTCCACGGCCCGCCCTTGACTTTGAGGTTGACGACGACAGCGGCGTCGTGCAGGCCTCCGCGCGGGGTGGCGGGGCTGCCGGAGGCATTATCCTGAATGGCCTCGACCTCGGCGCCGGGGCTGTGTAGGCCGAGAACGACGTAGCCGTCGTCGCGGACCTTGAGGACCTTGGGGCTGATGATCTTTTCAGCCCAGGGGATAGCGGCGGTGGGGTGGTGAGCGGGGGCGACGGAGAAGAGGAGGAAGGCGGGAAGAAGGTGGCGGGGGTGCGGGAGATGAAGTCGAGGAGGGCGCGGCGCTCGGCGAGGAGGGTAGCTGGGTCGGCGAGCTGGGCGGGGAGTCGCGGGGGAAGAAGCGGGCGAGGATGGTGAGGAGGAAGTATTGGGGGAAACATGCTGACGGCGCGGTCGTGGTGGCGGCGGAGCCAGGTGAGGGGGCGCGAATTCGGCGGAGGTGTGTTCGACGCCGCCGTCCGGGGTGGGGACGATCATGGGGGAGCTTTCAGAGGAGGAGGAGGAGGAAGAAGAGGAAGAGCTAGAGGAGGAGGTGAGGTCGGAGTCGACGGGGAGGAAGTAGAGGTACATTTGGGTGGTGAAGCGTTTGGGGGTGGGGGAGGGGTGATCCAGCGGGTGAAGGGGATGAGGCCACCTGATACCTTTGGCGTTAGCTTGTTTGTTTGCCGTGGTGGTTTTTCTCTGTTTGGATCGAGAGTACGAGGAAAAAGGAAGAGGAGGAAAGGGAGGTGTGAGGGGACACGTACCAACGTCGGCAGTAGCGCCCACGCTCTTCAGCCAGTCCCCAAACTTGACCTCGCCCCTATGCACCTTTCGCCTGCCCTCATCCCTCACGGCCGGGTCCACGTCCACGAGCCTCCCGTGCGGTCCGCGCGCGAGGAGAATCCCGCTCTCCTCGAAGCACTCCCGCACGGCAGCGAGGCGGTACGCGGGGCCATCGGCGTGGCGGGCGGCGGGGTCCTGCGGCGAGGCTACGGCTCCGTCGTGTAGGTCGTCGAGGTTACCGCCGGGGAAGACGTGGGCGGACGCGAAGGAGGTGGAGGTTCGCACGCGGTGGAGGAGGAGGATCTGGTTGGTGGGGAGACGAGGATGACGCTGTTTCCTGGGGGAAAAGGGGATTCCGTTTGGTGTAAGCGGGGTGAAATAGAGGAAGAGTAGTGAAAAAGAGAAAGGGGTATTCGGGAGGAGGGACGTTACCTGGAGCTAGGGCTGGGCTCCGGGACGGGCTTCTTGGCCTGGGCTTTGGACATTGTGGTGTACATGGGATGCGACGGAGGGGAGCGGGTGGGAAAGGCTGGGAAGTTGGAGTGTTAGCATGTTACACGACGGCCGGCCGGGGAAGAGCTTGCATTGGGACGGAAATAGCACCCAGCCTTGAAGAAGACCAAGACCAATTCTCTGCGCGAAACAGGTGCGAGGGAGAGAGCTTTATGAATGAAAAGGAATGAGGATGAAAAAGGGAAAAACCTTACATTGGAATATTATGGAAATCCGGGGTAGTTTATGTCGACGTCCTATCCAGAGGTGCGCGGTGGCCATTCTCCCCTTCTTGTAGTCTTTTTGTTTGGCGTTGGAAAGATGGAGGGTAACAAGCGGCGAAGGGGGCAGACGAGACAAGGGGGCGTCCTCCGTCAGAAGCGCGGAAAAGGCAAGGGGCGCGAGGAGCTAAAGCAAAACCCCCAGAACGGCGCATTCGTCTCTCAATCAGGGCTGGTACGAGTGTGGGGAAAACTGGGGTAACGCAGCGCCGATTGCTGAGATGCCGAGGTTGACCTTTGGGGGTCGCAAAAGCCCGGCGCTTGTGGTGGCGATGACATCAAATCTCCTCGAAACTCTGGTGTTTCGTGAGGGGAAGGAAGATAAGAGACCTTGCCTCGCTTTTGACCAAAAGAAGAAAAGAAAAAAGGAGAAAAAAGGCAAGCGTAATGGTGTTCGTTTTGAACTTAGGGTAACTTGGAGGATTCAATTGGTATTGCATGGAGTTCATGTGCTGTCGTTATAAAAAAATAAAGGACGAGCTATGGCACAAAGAGGTAGGATATGTAGAACACAGAAAGGAAATGAATATACAAGCAAGGTATAAGGCCAAGGTCATAGCCTGCAATGGAACTCGCCGCGGAAAGACCCAAAAGAGAGGTAGAGAGAGAAATGGAAACCAAGGGCGCCGAGTCTCAAACTACCCAAAACTCCGAAGATAATGTGTGCGCCCCAAAGAATAAAACTTCCATCCTTCGCCTCACAGCCTCTTCCTGTCCAGCCCATTCATCCTCTGCCGCCACAGGCAACAAACGCTCTTGCTCTCGCACCACCGCTTCACCTCGGCAGGCGACACCTCGGCGTCGCACCCCACCCGCGAAAGCGGCCCCGTGTTGAGCCACGCCGCCAGGTCCTCCAGAATAATGGGCTCGTACATGAGAATCTTTTCGTGCCACGACGGATTTTGCGGATCCTGCGTCCGCTCCGCCGTCGTCACCGCCTGCGTAATGTGCCTAAACAGCGCCGCCTCTTGCTCCGTTGGCGACGTCGCCAGCGATAAGTGAGAGTCGTCTTCCGTCGGTAGAGAGACGTCGTACGCCGCCGCCGCCGCTGGCGAGGAAAATATGCGCTCTGGCGAAGATACCATGTCCGAATCCGAGTCTGGAATCTCCAACACAGTTGGCGCCTTCTTCTTGGGCGGTGTTGCTGGCTGCTTGCCCTTGGCCGCCTTGGTCTGCTTCGCCGCCGACGCCGCTGCCGTGGTGGCCGTGGTCACTTTGGATTTAGAGGCCGAAGCCGTTGCTGACTTTTAGCAGCTGCCGTTGTCACCGGTGCGCCCGTTGTCGTTTTGCGGGGACGGCCTCGTGGCTTTTCGGAGGCACCGGCTCTGGTATTTGCGAAGAAACTGGTCCATCGTCGCTGTCATCTGAGTTGAGGACGGGCACCATGTTCTTCCGCGGTCGCCCTCGAGGTCGTTTCACCGGTTCCGTCACCTTTGGCGGCGGCGGCGGCATGGACAAAGAATCATCCGGGGCTGCCGACGCCTCAACCGAGCCGCCGTCGGTTCCCGTTCCCGTTGATATCGCCGTCGTCGCCGTCGCAGCCGATGGGGCTGTCGAGAGGGTCCTCGCACCCAGATCCAACTGTGGCTGATGCTTGCTTTCCCAGCACTGCGTCAGCAGGCTAATCATGCCCACGCGCTTCTTGATTGGCTTGAACCCGTAGCCCGCCACCTGTCGCGCGAGTTGGACGTCGGTGAGTAGCTCAAAGTTGGGGCATTTGGGGGCCGCGGGCTCCGGTGCCTTGGTGGGGGACGATGCGGCGTAGGGATTCGACATCGCAAGCGCGGTGTCGGCAGATGCCCCTTCTAGCTCGTAAAACCGCGGCAGTCGTTTTTGAGAACTGGGCGGGGACTATTGGAGCTTATTGGCCACGACGAAGGGCCAAAGGAGCCTGTAGGCGCGGATGCCGTAGGTTTGGATTGACTCACCCCACTGGCTTTATCGCCAGAGGCTCTTACGACACGGGATGATGACGCCATGCTTGTTGTCGCTTGTTGTGAAGATTGGACTTGGAAACCCGCCGAGTTGAGACCGGGCTGAGGGGTCCTCGCATCGAGATTAACGTAACCAAATGGGTCGATATCGTTAGCTGTCGAGCTAGCCAATGGCGAATCGATAAGATCAATGATTTCCGTATGAAGCAGCTCGCCGTCGACATCGCGCGCCGCCGCATTCCAGAGCCGTGGCCGGCCGGCCTCGGGAGGCTCAATGGCATCGCTGTTGATTGGCGTCACATATTCGTCATCCGTCAGCGATACGCGCCTGAGCCTCGGAAGACTGTTGCTGTTGCTGCCACGCGCATCGTTCGGGTCGCGAGCCAGCTGGCTCGTCGTGCCAAAGACGAATTGTTGGTCGGCTACGTGCTGAAGCGCCGCGCCGGGAGATAAGAGTATGATATCCGGCACCTGCTTCTTCTTCGCCCGGCTCTTGCGCTTGGGCGCTGCCGCTTTTGGTTTTGTTGCCGCGGCCCCCTTTCCGCGAGGCTTTACTTTCGTTGCTGCCTCCCCTGCGGGAGGGGCTTCGACGTCCTCCACCTCAACCACGTCCTCTTTGGGCATATATGCGGCTGTCGCAAGCTCGGTAATAGTTCTCGCTTTCTTCTTGGGCGCTTTTCTCGTCGGTGACTTGGCCGGGGCCTCTGCACTAGTCGTTGTACTGGTGCTGGTGGTGGTACTGGTAGTGGGCACCAATTCCAGTAGCTTCCTTTTCTTCAGCACACCCTCTAATCTAGGGGTTCTGGCGCAGCGCTCCGATCCTCTACCTCCTCCTCGTACCCGTACGTCTCGTTCAATTTTTGAAAAATCGCTCGGGCATTCGCCGTCTCCGCTCTTGCTGGTCTGCTCGCCGACGAGAGGAGCTCCACGATATCCGAAGACTGAGAACCAAGCTCGCGTACCGTGTCCTTGGGCGGTGGTGTCCACTGGACTCTCCTGGTCATGGCCGCCGGTATATTGAAGGGTGCGTCGGGGTCCGCGTCGAGCTGGTGGGATTGGGAGGGCGGCGCGTTTTCTGGGCCACCAGGTTTCTGGCTCTGATCCAGCGCCTTCTGCTTCGCTTTGTTTGATCTTGAGGTTTTGGAAACGTCTACCTGGTCTAGCTTGGATGATCCCGGCCGCCGTTCTGGGGTGCTTTGGTCCAGGGCCGAGATCTCAATTGAGGTGACAGATATATCGGCAATCTCTTCTATCCATATAGTCTCGTGGAGAGGCGACTGCCTAGCCGTGGTCCCCATCATTGTGCTCGAAGATGCTACTACATTTGTCGCTGTTGCCGTTGCCGGTGTTATCGTAGTGCCACTTGCCGACGCAACGCCTTTACCATGAAGTGGTCGCGCTCGCCCATTATGTGTTGACCGTACATGCACTTCGGGTGCACGACCAATTTGACTCGGTTTCGGCGCCACGAGCTCTTGCAGAGTAGGGAGGTCCGGAGACGAGGAACGAACCCCGAGTTCGGCCCTAGTCGAGTGTCGATCATGCTAGCACCAGTCGCGGGAGACGAGCTCAGGAGTATGGTATCGGCGGCCATGATGGACCGGGGTGAGCGGGGCATTAGAGTGCGCAAGGCGCATCTCAGGCCAGTCGCGCGGGACAGAATAGTTGTTTCTCTTTAACCCCCGAGGGGTTAGCACTGACGGCATAAAAGGTTTTGGTTTAGCGCTACTTTTTTTTCCTTTCCTCCTCGACTCTGCCTCTCCAGTGGCGAAAAGAAGGGCGGCGTTGTCGTTTCTCGGGAATGCCTTCAAAAGGGGCGCGGCGTTGTACGGGTGGCGGATCTTGGTGGTTGAGGAGTGGATCCGCGCGGAGAGTTTAGTCCCGTAAACAAAAGACTGCACGGCAAAGGTGCACACGAATTGGGTAGGAGCCAAACGAACCGCTGTGAATCGATGCTCTTTGCGCCCTTTCCGTCACGAACCAACCACGAAATCAGCTGATTGGGGGTGGGGCCAGCAACAACCCGCCAAAATAGGCCGGTTGCACCTGCTAGAGTTCGAGCCTCGACGACCAGAGCAGTCACGTGAATTGTCTTGTGACCGAGCCCTCCCAGAGCTGGTCGCCCCGCACGAAAAATCGCACCTCACAATACTCATGATTTTTGGAGGTGAATTGAAAGTCCCCCCGCCAAAGCCTCATCGTCACCTATCCGATCACCAACACCACCCCTTCCCAATCTTCATTTTCGAAGCCGTATTCACACATACCGCAGCCATGGAGAACGACAAGGGCGAGACCGTCGACCTGTATGCAATTCCCCCGTATCCCCGAAATTCTAGTCGCCCTCCGATCCCCGCCCTCGTCGCTTTCTGCCTCGCCGAACTTTTTTCTTTCTTTTCCCAGGAATGAGAGGATGCAAGTTCGGCAAGGGTGGTGATTTAGGGCGGGCGGGCAAGGGCTTTTAGAACCAAGAAGAGTCATAAAGATGATTGCTAACCTCGAGGTTATTTTCCTCCGATAACAGCTACGTCCCCGCAAGTGCAGTGCCACCAACCGCATCATCAAGGCCAAGGACCACGCTTCTGTCCAGATCTCGATCGCCAAGGTTGACGACAACGGCCGTGCCATCCAGGGCGAGAACATCGTCTACGCCCTCTGCGGCTTCGTCCGTGCCGTCGGCGAGAGCGACGACTCCTCAACAGGCTCGCGCAACGCGACGGTCTCCTCAAGAGCGTCTGGAACCCCGTACGATAAGCGACCGTCGTGTTTTCGCCTCTAAGTCTTCTTTTTCCCCTTCGCCGCGAACCCGAGAACCGCAACGAGATGGATTGGAACTAAACGGATAAGGAGGGGAGGAAATGGCGACGAGGCAAAAGGGAAGGTGGTAAAGGGAGTTGGGGCTTGTTTCCTTGTTTCTTTCTAGAAGAAGGCATGCGAACCTTCATGTCTTCATCACACAAAAACCCCTGGGGAATCATCTTTTTCGTTTTTATGGGACATGGTCTGTGCGTGGGATAGACGGCGGTGAATTGGGGATTGGCAAAAGAGTCAAAAAGATGGATGGTTCTGTCGATTTGAGAGCAGCCGCTTTTCCTCTTTTCCTCTCCCCATATCCCTCCACCTGTGAACAGGACTTCTCGAAAACCCGCCCGAGAGGCAAGAACGAAATTTTTTTCCCATAATGCATATTGGAATTTTTAGAATTGGCTGCCAAACAAATCGACTGCCAATTCGGGGCGTTTGGTTTCTTAAATGGAAATGCATTTGAAGCCAAAACAAAGAACAAAAGAACAAGACCAAATCTTCCTTCTCTGCCAAGCTTTCGGGAGCTCTGCCATACCTGTTGACCGGTTCCGTCAATCGTCTATCCCCGTCTCCTTGCCATCCATGCGCGCGACGTGATAATCCTTCCTTCTGTTACCCTTCCCTTTTTTAGTTTTAGGTTTTCCGGCTGGTAAAATGTCTTCTCAGAACGTGGCTCTCGTGGGTCCGTCGTGACTGGGGATTCTGGGGCTGGCGAGGTGCGGTTTCTCCTGAAGCCCTCCTCGGATGGCTCCCGTGCCGTAGATTAAGAAGAAATCACCTGGCCTTGAAAAAGCTGCGATGGTAGAGGCGTTCATCGCGGTACAGATACGGGTCAGACAAGTTTGTGTTTTTGGTTTTGTCCAGTTCTTTTCGTTTCGCGTACGGTTATCTATGGATCATTATATCATGGCCACTATCACCCCTGATGCCGCCTGCGAAGTCTCTTTTCACAATCCCAGCTCAACTAACACAGATAATCTGTTCACACCCTTGCATTTCAATCACTATTCATCGCCGCCTTGAACGCCCGAAGCGCCCTCTCCCGACTCTCCTTATGCTGCACAATCGGCTTCGGGTACCCAGCCTTACGCGCCCTCTCCCCCATCCGCGCGCGTACGGATCGTGGACGGCGGGATCGCCGGCCGGCACGTCCGCCAGCTCGGGAACCCACTCGCGGATATACGCGCCGTCCGGGTCAAATTTTTCGCTCTGCAGCAGGGGGTTAAAGATGCGGAAGTAAGGCTGGGGGTCGGCGCCGACGCTGGCGCTGAACCCCCACCCGCCGTTGTTGCTGGCGAAGTCGCCGTCGATGAGGTGCTCCATGAAGTAGCGCTCGCCCATGCGCCAGTCCAGGAGTAGGTCCTTGGCCAGGAAGCAGGCGACGATCATGCGGCACCGGTTGTGCATCCAGCCCATGTGGTGGAGCTGGCGCATGGCCGCGTCCACGATGGGGTAGCCGGTGCGACCCTCGCACCAGGCGGCGAAGTGGTCCTTGTTGTAGACCCATTCGACGTTGGAGAATTCAATCTTGAAGGGCTTGTTCATACTGTTTGGTGGTCAGTGGATTATACGAAGAAGAGCTTTCTGTCCATTGTGCCTCTCTGCTATACACTCTCTAGGCATCTCTTTTGTCCATTTTGCTTTTCATCACCCTCCAACCAGAATCTTACTTACCAAATATAAGGCCAATTGACCAAAATATGCTTATAAAACTCCCGCCACGCCACCTCCGCAATCCACTTCCTCGCACCAGCGGCCCCTGATCAAGCTTCCGCGTCGTATTCCGGTCCTGCGCCGTCGACACGCACGTCCGCGCACTGATAGCCCCCACGGCCAAGTACGCCGAGATCCTCGACGTGGCCGCCCGCGCAGGCGTGTTCCGCTCCTCCGCGTAGTCCTCGAGGTCCTCGTCGCAAAGGCCTGCAGCCTCTCCATGGCCGCGCCCTCGCCCGCGGGCCACAGGTCAGCGAACCGGCGCGCGTCCGCGTCCGCGAGGCGCTTGCTTTCGGGCTGCGGGGGCAAGGGAGCGTCGAAGACGTCGGCAAAGACGTCGCGCGCCGAGGCGGGGTTGCGCTGCGGCGGGTCGAGGGTGTCGAGGAGGTCGTAATTCGCGTGGACGTGGGCTACCCATTTTTTGAACCAGGGGAGTACACGGCGTATTGCTTTCCCGCGCCGCTTTCTAGGCTGCCGGGGCCACGACGCAGGTATCGTGCTCGAGGGTAAAGGCCACGCCATCTCCGTCGAGCAGGCGCACAAGGTCGGTCTCGCGCCGGAGCTCGTCGACTTCGTACTCCATGTTGGCGAATAAGTGCTTCGCGCCCCACCCCTTTAGTAACTCGGCGATCCGTTCAGGGACACGCGCGCGCCTCTCGACCGTCTCGACGTGCAGAGGTACGTCCAGCGCGGCAAGGTCAGCCCGCAAGACCTCGAGCGTGCGAAAGATAAAGTCTACGCGGGCCGGAGACGTCAGGTGAGCCTCGAAGTCCTGGGGACTAACAATGTACAGACACACGAGGGGTATCCGCGCGGCGGCAGCCTTCTTGCCGGCGAGGTACAGCGCGCGGTTATCCTGGGTGCGTAGGTCCCCTTTGAACCAGTGGACCACGGCGCGGCCGGGAGCCACGGCATCGCGGCGCGCTTGGGTCTCGCGGATGGCGTCGTCGAGGTCCTCCATGGGGCGGGAGAGCTCGCCAAAGGTATAGGCGCTCGCGCGGTAGTTGCTCATCTCGGGCGGGTAGTACTTGCGGAGCTGATGCCGCTCTCCTCGGCCAGGTCCGCAGCCGGGTGGGGAGCAGTCAGGGGGTCCTCGGGCGAGCGGGCCCGGCGCCTCTTGCGGGGATCGCGACTCTTAGGCTCAGACTTGTCCGTGGGCGAGCGTTTGTGAGGCATCGTGGTACTAGAGTGCCGCAAGGCAGGAAACGGCGTAAAATAGGGACGAGCTTGGCGGGTGACGAATAGAAAGCGCCGTGAGAGGTTCAATGGTGCCCGAAATATGCGCATATACGATGATACATTACCTAGAGGTTATCATGGAGCACGCACTACAGAGAGAACGCAGCAGAGAGAAAGGAAGATGAGATCTATAGCTCTAACTATAAACTAAGTGACAGGCTATCAACTTTAACTACTTCGTATAGGGGTGTTCACCGTATATTCTACCACCATAGGCGGAGCGAAGAAAGCTCCCCGATGCCAGCGACGTCATGGCCATGTTGGGATCGGAGGCTCAAGGTACGGATCGATCGACTTAGTTTCGGTGGCTTCGCGCCAGCCAACCAAGAGCTCCCGTCACTCCGAGCAATTGAACTGGCGCCGACTCAAGCAAGGGGCCCTTTTTAGACAAGTTCTTTCTTCAATTTCATACTTGTATGTAAACCTCGAATATTGCTAAGGCGCTCGCGTCCACATGATTCTGCAATGTTCGTCTCTGAAGCGCACAAATTCGATCAAGTTGAGATCCATGGAAGCACCCAAGAAAAGTTCTGGAAGGTGCGTTCGGGTGGGTACAGTGTCATCATCGGCTGCATGCACTGGATCCCTCGCCCCCACCTTTTCTAACCTTTGCTTCTCCCACCATCTCAAATGGCCTTTGTTGATGCCTCGAGTGCTCCCATCGAATCGATTTCAGCTCGACGGAATCCTTGTCTATTCCCAGGCTCGGGGAAGGAAAATATCTGACAGGTGCCTGGACTAGCCAGGGACGCGACCGCGTCAACATTGTAACGACTACACGACACAAGAGATTTCCCACTGCAAAGGAGCGAGAGTATTGTCGGGAAGAACGGAAGCGTGGAAGACTGAAATTGGCCCATTGCATCTCACCTCCTCCGTGTCATATCTTTCTTTCCTTTCCCAACCATCAAATTCTCTCGGAAACTGGGGACTAGGACCGGGACTCGAACCACAGAACCCCCAAGTGCGCCCTCTTCTGTTGCTGCCACCACCAACTGTCACCCTACGAAGATCCATCAGGTCTTACATCTCCGGGTGTGGCTGGCTACCATCTCTCACTCAAGGCTCAACCCAAAAGGGAAGCGTAAACAAAAGAAAGGAAGGCGAAATAGCACGTTACCTGTGCCGACAATTCCTCCTCGGTCGGCCCGGACTCTGTCTCTCGCCTCATCCGGCACCAGGCCGCCCAACCCTGCACCTGTCGAACACACCCCGTTTGACCCTTCCGGAATCCCGCATCCCCTTTCGGCCCCCTCCCGAGCGGCCCTTTCAAAAGACCGCCATCTCCATTTTCGTGGTCCTTGCCCCAGTATCTGCGTACTGGTTGGAAGTCTTCCGTGCCCTCTTCCGTCGCACACAGTGGAGAGTGTACGACCGTGTCGGAGACCAGCGTTGAAATCGCACCCTCGCGCAGGGAGACGTTCTCAGTTCACACAGTCGCCGCAGTGCCATCGAGCGCGGCATTCGGAACCCCTCCGGCTGGAGAGTGGACATACGTCGGTGTACTCCCATCTTTCTTTCACACCCTTCCCCCTCCGTGGCCCCTACCGCCCCCATCTTCCGTCCACTTTGCGACATCCGAGGAGCACCCTTCCGGAAGGTGGAGCTTGCCCTTGAATCTCGGCGTGGCTGCACCTCTTTGGTTGAGGGGCTACGTCTCACGACACCCTCTTTGTCCAACCCGGGCTCGGTTACACATCTCCCCTCGCTCGCCTCACGCTTTCGCCCACCCATCACGTCGCCTTAATTCTCCAGATCTGGCGGTATCCCACACAGTCATACACCTACACTCGTACCCACGCTCATACACCCCCGCCCTTTTCTTTAGCTCCCCTTCCCTCAGTCGACACTTTCCCGCCACTCACCCTCTTATTTCACTTTGGCCGACATCCAACACACGCCGCCCCCCCGCCACCCCCTTTCTTACGCCCGCCATGTCCGTAACAGCAACCTGGCGTCCGCTACCCTCAAACGGGCCGGCGGCCTGCCGGCTCTCCTCGCGTCCGCCCGCTTCTCCACGGCCTCGTACGCCCTCCACATCACCGACCTTGCCCACATCTGGTCCGAGTCCCTCGACCGCCGCGCCATCATCCTCCGCGCCCTCAAGGAGGATGCCAGCATCGACCCTTCCGACGGTGAGGACAACATGACCTCGTTCCTCAAGTGCCTGCGCGCCGCCTTCGATCCGGATGACCCAATGCACAGCCGCACCCGCTTGGCCGTCGAAGCCGGTGGCGGCAGCGGCGCGACCGGGGCCGCTGCCGATGATCTTCTCGTCACTGCCACGTGCGAACTACCCCGCGAATTGTCTGAAAAGCCTCTCGTGTGGCGCATGTACCTCAAGATGCAGCCCGCCTCCACCACCACCGCCGAGCTTGTCTTCCCGCTCGTTGAGGCCCATCGCGCCCAGCAGCAGCAAATCGCCTCTCTAGTCGAGATCATCAAGCAAAGGACTCCGTCATCAACAAAGTCCTCGACAAGCTCGAGGCGACTGGTACCTCTCTCGAGCATGTCTTCACAGTCCTCTCGTCCAAGCGACGAGTGACGCGAGAGCAAGCCGAAGCTCGCATCAAGGGTCTCGCGACCTTTGATTGGGATGCTTGGAATGCAAACGTTGCTGAGGACTCTCGGCAGAGCCCTGACGGCGAGGTGCCCGAGCTGTTACGCCGCGTCTTTGATCGCGGCGGTCTCGAGTACACTCAAAGGAATGACTCAAAGACCTACGCAGAGGGCCTCGGGGACTGGTGGCATCGCATGACGGGCACCGCGGGCATTCTTCTCCCCGGCGACGATGGTGGCGATGACGATGACATTGGAGCTCAGGATGCCAGCGAGCCCGAGTCCACCACGATCGGAAAGGGCTCCGCCCCTCCTCCCAACGTCAGCCATCTTCCTCCCGCCGGACCAAGTCTCCTGTACCGGCGTCCTCTCCAAAGCGCCCTCTTCCCAGTCGCACCTCCAAACCCAAAGCCCCGGCACCGACAGACGATGCTCCCACCGCCTCTGAAACGGAAAGCGAGGATGATGCCCCGCCCCCCGGAAGACGGCCGCACCACCTACCCGTCGTCTAGGCGCTATCGGCGGCTCCCGCCCTCCGCCAGCGCCGAAGCCGGACCCTCCCCTACAAAGGACGACGGCGAGCCCACGGCTTCCGAATCAGAATCAGAACAGGCCCTTCCCCGGCAGCATCCACTCGCACGGGGAACAACCGCGCCGCCCGCGAAACGGCTGCCCGTCCCGCTTCCGCCTCCGGCAGCGCCACGCGGTCGCCCACTCCTGAAGAGGGCGGCGACGCAGAAGCAAAGTCTCCGCCCGCCAAGTCTTCGCCGGCGCGGCCGAGAGGCGCGGGACTGGGTAGGATTGGCGGTATCGGTGGGATCGGAGGGGCTAAGGCTAGCCCGCGGCAGCCTTCGGAAGAGGACGAGGAGGATGGATTTGATGGGGGCAGCGGGGCGAACAAAAGGAAGACGAGGTCAAGAGTCCGGTGAAGAAGCAGATTTCGAAACCTGTGAAGAAGAAGAGAAAGTTTTAGGATAAAAGTTTCTCCTTTGTGTCGGAGAGTAGCGATCCTCCCTATTTCTTTATGTATATGATGATGATGTCGACGTCGCAAAAATAAATTCTGTTCAAATGCCCGCACAAGCAGCTCTCGATTTCTTTTCAAGTCCTTCCTTCCGCCTTGCCTCTTTGGCGGAGTAGAAGCAAAGGCGGTGAAAGATGCTCGTCCCTGCAAACGCCACTCCATTCATCATCGTGGTCGCGCAACCGCACGCAAACCATCCTCAAGGCCATCAATCTCGACCGACGACCCGCGTAAAGAGGGACGACCATTTCAAGATGGACAAAATAGGATTGACAAGGACCGCCGTAGAGCACGCAGCGTCAATTTTAGTCCGAGGAACGCATCCCACGCCTTCCGACCGTCCATCATCAACCCCTCCAGCGTGAGCAAGTGAGTAGAACAGCCTACCTTTTTTCCCCCGTCTTCCCCTTAGCTCCCGTGCCATTTTGTTCTAGAGTGCTCTCCGAAAGGTCAAAACTCGAGATTTCATCCTTCTTACCTATTTCCTCTCCCTTTCTCACTGATTCCAGTTATGGGCTGTTCTCAACGACTCAGAGCAATCCGCTCTCCTTCCACTAACACGCGTTTGCGTCACACCATCCAACACGATCCAAACCCACTCGGCTTGTCTTTTACGCAAGGCCACCGAGGAACCCCAGCGTATCTCCCTCCGCCTCTGCTCTTCGGAGGCAGCCTGGTAATGTCGGATAGCGTAGACCAACCCCGGGACGGGGAGCCATCGCCAGAGTAGCGGTCAGCCGAAAGATAAAAAGGGCCTCCTACCCAAGTTCCCCTCCCCGCGAGCGACGCAAACAGGGTCCCTTGCGTATGCCTCGGCGAGGCAGGAGGACGCACAACCTCTCTACCGGTGAGAGGTAGCCAGTTGTTGAGAACGAGTTTGAGACGTAAGAACGACCTTGCTCCTCCCCGAGGTAAAGAACCGAGGTGACACTTATCGTCAAGCCTGTTTGCTCTCTTCGCCCTCGGATGACGATCTTTTCTTCTTTTGCGGACGCAGAGCGTGGGTTTACCTCGCAAGACAGCTCCTCTCTTGCTCACGACGACGAGGGCGGTAGCTGACGGTGCCATGATCTATGCCCCCTTCCGAAGCATATCACAACGCCCCCTCTTCGGACACGACCGGGAAGGGGGCGTTCATCGGTCGTGTCTCCCGCCCGAGGATGGAGGCATACCGGCTCGGTAGCAGGCCGACCACACCGATAGTAGCTTCCGAGGCCGGTCGCCTAGAGAGGCGAGCTGTAAACCAGGCAAAGAAAGCGTAGTCAGTCATGATCCAAGGATGCAACGATGACCAATGTTTTGCTGCAAGCGACTGCTCATGGATACTGTGGAGTCTTCCGCTTCACCGAACGCATGATGGCCTCCACCGGTGGACTCTCCAGCCGTACGATTTCCTCGAGCGCAGGGACGGCAGTCCCTCGAGGAATACCAGCAGGTGGTCTTTGCCACCCAGGTCTCTTCTCTCGCCCTTCCACAAGCCCCTCCTCTTCCCCTAGTCTCCGCCCTGAGCCAGCAACATTGTCCACCCGAGGTTAACTCGGGCGGCCTCACCCACCCTCGCTCAGAGCAGCAACAGCACTCGCCGGTCTGCATCGAGCTCGGGCGTCAAAAAGAGTCAGCGACGACCCCAGGCCGGCGAGCCACCATCCAAGCCCGTGTCCATGAAACGCCTCAGCTCGCCGCGCACAACCCGCGTTCCATCTCGAACCCCCTTCCAAAGGGGAAACCTTGGTCCCCCCTCGCCCTCTCACAGATGGCGAGATCCCGGAATGCTCCCTTACGGACCCATATCGTTTGCCAGGCCGCCCGGCGCAGATCTCATCCAGGGGACCTCGTCGACCACCTCGTCGACCTCGCCGGCCTCGCCCCATGGAAAAACACGGCTCCCCTGCCACAGACGGACGGGCCATGGGGTCTGTTGCCGCCTTCATCGGTATCATCGGTACACCTTGTCCTTCCTCTCCTCTCTTTCGCCCACCTCCCCTGTTTTGTCGGCCGTATCCGGCCACCTCCCCAGCCCACGACATGGCAATCTGCTACCTTTCCTTTCCGTCATCTACACGATTTTGCTACATCACCATCTCCTGTCGCTCGAGGATACAACCTCGACCACGCTCAATCTTTGCTCGCCGGTTGAAAAATCCCACTCTCCTCGTTTTTTCCCACGCCCCCTCCCCTCCATTTCCATCCCTTCTTTTTTTTGTTGTAGCAAACTCGGCTCGATGCCCACACTCCTGTCTTGTTGTCTGCTGGCCCCCGCCTCCTCCCCTCCTTCCCCCTAACCCCCTACCTTCCTCCCCCACGAATGCCATGTCCAAACCTGGTCAGCACAGTCCAGTTTCCGTCTCGAGTCCTGCCACCCAATCTGTCCTGTTCCATGAGTGATAGGAAGACACCCATACTCTCTTTTCGTGTTTTCTCTTCTTATTGACGGCAACTCCAGGGATCAAGGGGTGGGGGCGTTTCCAACAGCCTGTACCTACTTACCCTCCCTTCTACACCCTTATCCTCGCGCCCATCCATCACACCCCTTCACCCCCTTTTGTTTTCCTTTCTTCTCCTTTTCCCTCCCCCTAGTGCCACCTTTCCCTCTATCCACCATAATGACCTTGCTTCCGCGGGCCTTCCGTTGCACAACTGTCCATATCGAGGTGTTGAATGATATGCAAGATCCGGCAGGTTGAACGGCAAAGGGCAAGGGCCGCAAACGAGCCATGCCAAGGACCGCGGTGGGTGCAGGCAAGAAATGGAAAGCCGCATACGGCTCCCTATCCCGGTCCGGGGACAAGGCAGAGATGGAGGCCCTCTTTCGGGGCGCGGTGGGCATCACGCTCAAACCGACAACTCAGCGTACATATGCGGTTGCAATATCTGCCTCTATCCATCCCTTGTTTTTGTCACGCTTCTTCATCCCATCCCTTTTGGCTCTCCATCTCTCTCTTGTCTCTCTCTCCCTCTTCTTCTCTTTCTTTCTGCTACTCCTTCATGTCCCTCTACCAACAGCCGGGTTTCTGTTGCTTCTGGCCCATATAGGAAAACGCATTGGTGAGCAAGCGGGCAGGCTAGTGCCGGGTCCCGTCAGTAGCCGACCGAAAACAGAGCATGGAAGATCATTGCTTGTCTCGTCCTTCCTGCCTACCCCCTTCCACCTCCTCAACTTGCAAGAGCCGTGTGATGGCATGTAATGCCAGGGAATGAGTTTATACATGTACCCCATAGATGTATGCAGTTTTGCCACTCTAACCATTAAGGCGGGACAGATTCTGCGGCGACTCCTCTCAAGGGCTCCATGGCAGAAGGACCTCTCAACTCTTGTCCTTATCAGGAAATCACCATTCTTTAGGTACCCAAACACCGCCAGGCTCGTATCTAAATGCAGCTTGGCAGTGGCGTTCTCTCAGAGGGAATTTCTTTTCTTCCACAGCGGGGCTTGTAGTTGTCTGGGAATCGGAACACCTCCCCCACACAAGGTCTAGCCTGGGCGGATGTTAGTCAAAAAATCCCCCGAAGCATACGCACAAAGAAAAGCCGTTGCTTGTCAGATTTCCTTTGACCTGCATCACACGACGCCTTCTGACGTTGGGATAGCGTTGGTGTGCAGCGTCTTGGCCCCCTTGCCCTCTCACACCCTGTCCCCTGGATTTCCCGCACGTTCTTCTTTTCTAATATTTTTGTAATACGTTTGTCTATGATAGCGTAAGAGAAAAGTATTAAAGCCATGCTTAATCAATGGCTTTTGTTTCCCCGCGGGCTTCGATGAAGGATCCAGTCTCAAAGGCTCTTCCTATACCTCGGTATTCGCCAGCTTTTTGACGGCGGCCTTGGCGACAGTCTCTCCATGACCCTGAATTCCGCGCTCCCAGCTGGCAGCCAAAATTCTGTTTACCGTGCCCTCATTCTCAACGGAAAATGGGCCTTCATGTGCTAAACGCAAGCCACCGCCGCCCGGGGTCCTCTCTAGACATGATCCCCAAAGACACATGCGGCTGTGGTTGTGCAACCACCTCTCAAGCCTCGACCGGAGTTACCAGTGTTTGAATAGTCCGGGGCTAAACCCAGTGGAAACGGGGACCCGGGAATTGTCCACCAGCGTCGAATGAGAACAGGGAAATTTATAGTCTTGCATATTGACTCTTCCACTCCCCGCTCTCCCTCCTTCCTCGCCCCATTCGCAGCTCGCCAATGATGCAAGCACAGACTCAATTTTTGCACTGCACGTCAACTCCCAACGAGCCCAATAAGGAGTGGTGTTATGTGCGGTATGTAGCCAAGAAGGCAGTAGGAAATCGTGTACGAGGCAGAGTAACTGAACGCCGGAATGGGGAGAGGGGGCAAATGGGGGACTAGATTATGCTTATCACTCTTCCGTCAGGCTCCCACGCCGGGAAACAGTATGCATGTGAACAATAATGCACCTCAATCCTTCGACAGAGTTGTCCACGTCCCAAAAGTTTCACAGGTAGACAGACTGCAAATGAACCCCGCTTGTGTCTTCGGGCCCCGAGATGCCGCATAGCTGCGAACAACTTACCGCCGAGCGACGGGTGGGTGGCAACCTTGGCTCTCGAGAGGCGCTGGCACCTTTATCAAGACGTCTTTCCAGCAGCTGCGTTAATATCTGTTTTCGCCTTGAGAGTACCGAGGAACCAAACGAATTTGATCCACTAAAGGAGAGAATGCAGGCCCCCTCCATCATTGTCTGGCTTCTTGTCCTTGAATTCGTTTGGTCGCAGGCACCTCTTGGCGCCGATGGAAGACCAACTCTCAGCGTGGCAGAGCCGTCGAAAGGTCGGCCTGGAGAAATAAGGGAAAAAGCAAAGAAATAAACACTAATACGGAATGCACCTCTGCATCTTTATTTTCAATTCTTCGGGGATTTTCTTTTTCTCTTCTTCTTTCTTCTTT